GACGGAACAAAAAATCAAACTGACTGTAGTAACTTTTAACGGTTTGGAGCAACTTTAGTTTGCACTTACCACAACTTTACAGAATCACTCGATGCGTCAAATTTTGACCCACAAAACCCATAATAAAAAAGTGCTTACTTAAACAAGTTTTACGTGTTGTATTATTTTAAACAATCAGGGCTCTGGACGTTTACTGAATCTAAACAATATGACTTTTTTAGATTCATGTTAAATCAATTTTTTTGCCCACGCATCAACGATTCATTTTTTTTTTTGCTTCAAAAAATTACTTTTGAGTTAGTCTCACTATAAATGATCACTTATTTCTTGACAATAAATATTTCAACTTTAATTGCGCTATGCGCTGTACAACATAGTTATTATTTTTAAACTCTTGAGTAACCTCAAAGAATACTGCACGTTTCTGAAGAAGCTTATAGTTTATGAAGAGCAGAATAAAGAATAACAAGACTGAGACTGAGAGATGCTAAGTTGTGTAGCAACCTGTTTAACAAAATTTAAGGAGACTTATTTTAAACTTACCATAATAGGAGTGGTCTCCCGATGACAGAGACTAAAATGGTAATAATCATTTCATTAAAGTCAACTAAGGTTGCAAGTAACAGAATTTTAGCTTCAGCTTTCACCAGTTTTTTTTACTTTGGCGATAAAAACTATAATCAACGTTGTACTGACAAATAAGTAAATACTAAATTTTCGCATTAAAAATTTTCTTTTTACTACAAATTCTTAAAATGTCATGTTTTACATTAAACATTGCATCACTAAAGGTATCATAATCTCACCAAAGTTTCAAATTATAAATATTGTTTTTGAGAAAGAATTCTAGATTTTGCACTTGATAAAGGCATTAAGTCATTTTCAATTACTGTTCGGTCAGGAAGTTTTTTCCCACCCATAAAGCCATCAAAAACTTCAAAGAAGCATAAACTGAAAGCTAAAATATGATAGGCACGAAAGTTAAACAGGAGTTTTTGATACGTAACCGTAATGTCGCTCTGCTAAACAACGCAGCGGGTAAATTATCATTAACTTGTTGAACAGTTATCAGTTTCAGTTTCACAAGTTTGGGATACATACACTGCTTTTATTTTGGCATACAGCTCAGAAGAGTAAGGGCTTTAACAAATACCGACTTTTTATTAAGCTGTAATGTATCAAGCCTTTAGCAAATCGTTAAGTAGACAACAAAAACTTTCTCAGTCGCAGCTCTAGCGTCGTAAACTTTTTTGGTGAAGCATCGCCAAAAACGTTTGCGATAGCAGAGCTTCGACTGAGAAAGTTTTATCGCCAAATTCTCGGTATTTTCAGTAATATTTACTAAAACGACTCAACAATCTTTAACAGACAGTTTGTGTTCTCATTTTCTGACCTCCTGTCTAGTCATTTGATGACTGGTAAAACTGATTCTCTTCAAGAATCTGCTATACTACTAAGCTGCGCTGTACTTCTAGCCAGAAGCCAATTTTTTATCAGTCATTCATGACTCGTTCTCTACCAAATTTTTTTAACGACACCATCATCTGCGTAAAAAAATGTTTGTCTCTCGGTCCTTCTGAACAATCAAAATTCGTTTTTAAATAGCATAATAACGCTTCGCTATAGTTTAAGAAGGGCTTTTTTGCTATTTATTTTGAACATGTTTCAGTAAGCATCACTTGCAGGTATGCCATTCTTGCATATCTAGTGCATTTAATTGCTGGCACTGATGTTTAATATTAATAATAAAAGCTTTTAAAAAGAAAAAATTTTTAACATATTGAAGAAAAGAGAGTTTACAAATGCTCTTCTTCTAAATGCACTAATTCTGTGCACAACCCAAAAATAACCAAAAAGTTATTGCCATAAAAACTTACTTTTTTTGAAAATAAATTTAATGCGCTAACCTAATCATTAAAAATTTGCAAAAGTTTCAAAGTACAATAACTAGATAAGGCCTTACGTCAAATTGATCAGCAGTTTCATCTTCGAATCTTTCACTTGGCGTGAAGTAAGATTTGCAGATAAACCTTTTAATTGGTCTTTGATCAATAATCTTGATTAAGGCTGAAAACGGGTCAATTTTTGCTTTTTAATTTAGCATTTTACTGCACCAGTAAAGTTTAGTAATTTTTCAAAAAATTAAAAAGCTTTAAAGTTTTGCAAATTTGGTTAAAAATGAATTACAAAAGAAAAAGCAGTACTTGGTACCCAAAAACTGTTACAAGAATTTTACTCATTAGATGCGCAATTTAAGTAGCCTTTGCAATTGTGCCACCATTTCTGTGAAATCAGAAACCAAAAGTGACGATGTTGCTGGACCAAGGCGTTATCGCTTTAGACGGCAGTCTTCTTGCTTTTTTGTGTCGATCTTGCAAAAGTAATTTAAATAACTTAATCTTTTAAGAAGAAAGTTGCGTGTTTTTACCACATTTCTCTACAGTTGGTTCTAAAAGTTCACCTACTTTTCTCAACCTCTCTACACAGTTAAGTCGTATTTGAGTTTTGCAGCAAATCTACCCCAGTTACATCCATTTAACTTGTAATCAACTGCAAGTTATTACTTCTTCTAGTGTCTCTTTAGTTGTCAGCCATATTTATAATGTAATTAAAGACATGCAGTCATTTGACCAAAAAAAAATCATCTTGAAATATTTCCTGTTATTGTTCTGTATGTAATCCGTGTTACAATCATAAGGTGGGGTGCATCTGATACATTTTGATACCTCTATTATGTACAGCATTAAACCGAAAATAAGTTCAGTCTTTGTTGAACTGAGTGTCTAATTATATATATTTTTTTTTGTCTAATTATTATTCTCGCACCATACCCTACGCCAGTAATCGTATTATCTTCCTTGTCCTATTGTTGTAAACAGTATTTGCTCATTTTTGTGCCAAAGGGTTTTCTTAATCAGTTCAGTTTTATAATCTGAGTTAGCCCGACTACTGTACCTTTGCACAAAGCTAAGTATATGCTAAAACATAAAAAAAAGAAGAAGTAATATCAAGTTTAGATGCAGAACACGGTACAAGCGCTAATTACTTTTTGCAGTAGAAAAAAGACTTTGCTTGCAATTGTTATAATTATCTTTGAGTTTTGAAGTTTCCAAGTTTTAACTTTTTCTTACGTTAACTAACTAATCCTTTTTATGTTTTTTCTTTAATGTATTGTACTCAATTGTATTTCTTGTCTGACGAATTCAGCGAAAGGTTATCGAGAGATCCCTTTTTGCAAAACAGCTTCCGTTGCTTTATCACCTTTCTTTTACTCATCAGCACGTGCTGTTACCATCAAGAAAAAGATCTTGTTTTTCATCTCAAACTACAAAAAATCAGTGTTCCTCTACCAAAAAGAAGTTTCTATATGCAGAATACTGCACCGACCCTTCAGGTTTTTATAGCATTTTCCCCCCTTCTAACTGCCAAGCAAACGACGACTTAATAATTTACCTACGCCTGTGCCAGGTTCCTCCACATAAGACAGCTCGCAAACCACTGCTAGTGCTGTCGCTTATTTCAAGTAAATCCTTAGATTCTTAACACCGGAATATCACTAGCGGCACTGAATAGCAAAAAAGGGCACTAGAGGAAGAAGAAGAGATACTAACTATAACTTTGTTGATTTCATAAAACAAGTCAAAAATTTTACATAAATAATAAAAAAGTAACAAAACGGCACAAAATCAATGCAAGAAAGAAGTTGACCACGAGAAAAACCGGAGATTGAAAAATAGAAACTTTTTTAAATAAAGACTAGAAATTTTCGAGTCTATCAGAACAGCTGCCAATTGACCGCCAAAATCAGACTATATCACGTTCTCACACTTATAACTGTTTTGACGTTGAATGTTAAACAAAAATACGCAATTTTGAGTCACGTAAAGTTATGACGCGAAATTAAGTACGTGAAGTACAGCATTAGATCGAATTAAATAAAAGAATCTATGTGAATACTTAACAGTTGAGACTGCAGTCCAGCAGTGGTTACGATACAGCTCCAAAAGAGTCAAGAGATAAGGCTTATAATTAACCAATAATGTGGGCAAATTGTTGTTATAGAAGAGCTTTTGTAATTGAGCCTTCATGCATCGAACTTCCATTATAACCACTCCATTTCTATTTGTTTCAAAAAATATCTTAGTTCAAGCAAAACTAAGCGTTACTAATTTTTTGGAGGTTTTAGCAAAAGCACAACAAGACTACTCAAATTATTACTTTATTTCATATGACATCTAGCAAAACTTTTACAGAGATCGAGAACTAACTGCAACAAGCAACCCGTTAGTTTTTTGAAAGGCTGCGCATCTTTAATGGGCTTGACAACCAAGTTTCCTTACTGATACTTTTGCCACAGTTAGATATTTTTTGGTTTTGTTAATCAAACTTCTCAATGAGTTTTGCAGATAAATACAGAAAATCTAAAACTGTAAATCGCAAGTTTTGAATTACAGCAAATCGTCCAGTAGCTAGAGTAAACAGTGCAGAAGAAAAGTAGACATAAATTATGCCAAAAAAGACTATTTTAAGATAACAAAAGTTGTTTTTAAGCTATTTTAGTATTCTTACACTGAAAATTTGGTGAAATCCACTTAGTGAAAATTGTGTAGATGATAAGATTTTAGAAAAATGCCTTGAGTTGTTCTTTAAATTCGAGAAAAAAGAAGCGATTTCAAATGCTTTATTATATTTTTTAATGTTATCTCTTATTTTCATTTTAGAAATTATTTTAACTGTTTTGTCTTCTTAAAAATAACCCGTTTATTTCAAAACCTGTGTGTAGTTTTTTAGCAACTAATTACGATATCACATACTCTACATTGATTCTAAAACTCACTTAGAACCTCTAATTAAAAACACCGAAAAACTACTGTTACGTTAAACGTATTAGTCTTCTTTATAATTACGTACAGTTTGCAAGAACTCCAGACAGACTGAATGTCTGCAAGAAGTGCATCTGATTATACAACTCAGGAACGACGCGCACCCTGTCGGACGGCTTAAGAGCTGCGCGTTGCGCCTAAGTTCCCTTAACGACTCACAAATACTTACAAAAGTATTTTTTATTCAAAAATAGAAAGTTACTTCTGTATTCGCAGAGAAAAGAGAGACGATCGCTGCAATAGTGCCGACTTATACCTGACTTTTCAACACCAAAACAAGCTTGATAATCAGGCGTCCCCACTTTGCTTTTCAACTGACTGTTTTCCCAGTATTTACGCCCATCATCAAAAACATAATCTGATCCATTGTAAAACAGCCCGATCCATGCTTTCATTCCTTCACGTATCAGTGCTAAATTTTTGTTAATTATTTAAAAAGTCAGCAAGAAATTTAATACATTTACAACCCATTTATTTTTTTTAAGGCAGAAGGAAGCAACAGTATTTGTGAAAACTTGGGATGAAATTTTTTACTTTTAAAAGTTTCTATTTGGACTGAATCAAGAAACGAAGCCAGTTGTCCTCTGTGCCATGCTCTACAATAAGCCCTAGCGTACTCAAAAGCCATAGGTTCATTGATCTGAAAACGTCAATGTACTGTACTTGTTTCGCTGCTTTAGCGGCTGTTTAGTGACATTTTAAAAAGGAAATAAGCGTCTAACTGTTCCGTAGAGCCCTTATTCTGTAACGAAATTGCAGACGTGCAAAGCTTTGTGGCTGCCATTTTCGCTGTTGTTTTTTCGCTTTGCGTTCAAGATGCACAAAATTAACCTCCTGCGCCAGTGGGAAATTTCTGTCAAGATTCTCCCTAAGGTAGTATCTGTTTATCATTTGCTAAAACCGTTCTCGCTCAGAATGAACTATTCTATTCTTAACGTGACTGCCTGTTGTACTTCAGATTTGTGCTACGTAATCCTTTTACAAGAAGTTTTAGAAACTACATTTTGTCTTCTTAGTCCATTTTAGTGCAATCTTCATTGTTAATGTCGAAAAACTCCTCATTTCTTTACTTTTTTGTTTCTCATAATTAAGTCCTGAACTATACATTCTAAACAATGCAATTTCTTAAGATTAAGTAACTTCTAAAACGTTTATTCTGGTAGCATCTTTTACTCACTGATTGGTATCTTGAGCATTGGGTTATATACCTTTTTTGTACTAAAGCTGTTAGGTTTCTTACGCATTGCAGCGAGAGCGCACTAAATGGACTTAAGGATCAGAGACGGTAAAGGCGCTGGAAATGGTTTGGAACCTTTTTGGCGCCCATGCTAGTTGGTTGTTTCGGTTGTTGCCAGAAGTCTGAGCACAAAAACGGAAGGTGGAGACAACTGCGTAGCAAATCAAACTCTCAAAGGTTGGTAATTAATTTAAAGGTCTTATTTCCTTTTTTGAAAGTCTTCCACTATGAATCTTGATCAAGCGCAGCTTGTAGAGTTCCGCTTCAATTCAACTATAGCCTGGTTATATTTCTGTTCAGATATTTCATTCTTTCCAATATTGATTTCATTCTTCACTTATAGTTTAGGCGTTTTTTATCATTTGACAAATTTTTTTTACTTCAATGAGGAAATTGAAGGCCTAGTGACCAGGATTTTTTTCCATAATAAGTTAACCATTTTTGGTATGGCAGTATTGCATAGGTTAGTGGACGTGTGTTCAATGACCTTGTATATAATTGTGTCATTCCATCTCAGGTATTCACCTTATTGTGATACTCAAAGATTAAACCTAATAAAGATTTATCAAGTTAAGGCGAGTAGCGCAATATGATCATTGCTTGGTTAAAACTAGTCTTATACAGCCCTCAGATTAGCACTGCAGGGGTCGACAACTACAATTGCTTGCAGCGAGTTGAGTGTAGAAATGAGAATCCCAACAGGTACATATTAGGGAAGTTGTAATTCGTTACAGATTCTCAGTTGTCGAAGTTTTTGAGTACCTGCGACATGCACAGTCCAGCCTTATTTGTCATTTTTCATTTTTCCTGAGATCTATAGACTTCTTGCAATTTGGCATAAGGTTTGGTCTGATATCAATAGAAGACGATAGCATGGGGAGGAAGAAGAAGGACCTGGACCTCCCTCCCCCCCCACTCCCCCAAGAAAGAGAAGAACTACTCGAATACTTTTGAGGAATCGGTGAAACTAATAGATCAGTCTTGGAATTTCTAGCTAGAAGAATACTTATTAAATTTAAGAGAGTAAAAAAGGTTTTATAAAACACTTAGGATAACTGCAGACGAGGTACCAAGGTAGGAGACGTTATTCTTCCCAAGAGGGACAATATTACTAGGGGTAGTTGGAAATCGAAAAGAATAACACGCTTAAGCATTAGAGTAGACAATTTGAGTAGGTAAGTAAAATTAAAATTACCTAATGGTAAAGAAATATTAGACCTATTAACCCACTCTACCGAGTTGAAACAAGTTGTTAATATTGCAGAAAGCTAAAATACTTTAAGGCGAACTTTAATATCACTAAAACAGTTTTCTATTTTTTTAACGCTGAAGCTGACTGCTTCTGCTGAATTCTCTCAAGGCAAGTCTTTGAATTTTTGAATAAGAACCCTTATTTGAGATTGCTTAAAGTTAGTAACAGGATGGCTTTTGCTAACACCGATAAAATTTTGTATACTTTCTGGTTTTTGAATAATGGCAAACTGTACTTGCTAGAGAGACTCTTCTCTTCTCTTTTCTTAAACTATGATTTAAGAAGTTGATATAAGAGAATTTGATTCTTACAAGGTGAAAATAGGAATATTGAGAGGGATGAGTTTCGCATTTGCCTCACCTTAAGTAAGAACCAAAGACCTTAGTAATGTAAGTCAGCCATAAGTGGCTTACAGCGACCAAGTAAGAGACGACATGGTAGGATCCAATCGAAGAAACCTACTTTTAAATAAAGTACTGCGGGAAAATAAAAGATTTTACTACAAAAGTACTCTGAGTTTGCATATATTTTGAGTTACTAAGTCTTGCTCAAATAAATTAAAACCTAAAAAAAAAAAGTAAAAGACAAAAATGAAAAAAAACTATCAACTCAAACTTAATATTGAGAAAGAAGAATTGCACAAGAGCATAAGAAACGATAATCTACTTTTTTTCCACTTCTAGTCGTTAGAGGAGCAGCGATTACAAAGCGGAACTTTTCGGGTACTTTATACGTACAAATAGGTTTTACACTTTACCAGGGGAATGTAGTCGTTAGGGAAAGCCGGCGAATTTCTTTTGCTGCAGGTCACTTTTCTCCGAAAAACTTTTACAGGCGTTTATATATGGTAACCAATTACGAGTTGGCAATTATAAAAAGACAAAAGCAAGTTTCGATTATTCTCAGCCAATAATTGATTTAAAAATGAGAAATTTATAAACTCTTACTAGTTTATAGCAAAATCCATCCTTATAAGTCCATCCTGAACGACATAGACTGCTTGCCCCTAAAAATAAGAAAGATGAAATTTCTAAAAAACCTAGTTTTCCGGAATTTGTTAGCCCATAAGACACAAAAAGTTTTCAAACTTTTAAAAATTTTTTTGTTTCCAAAAATTAGAGGAAATTTGCGCAGAAACTCAGATTTATTGAGTTCAAAAGAAGCTTAATTGTTGCAAATTAATTGAATTTGCTTTGTTAACTTATAAATCTCACTTTATCTCATCTGTATCGTAATTATTTTATCCTGAAAGGCTACAGTACTTTTATAAATTTTCGATTTGTTGTTCATTTCGTTCTTTGCTTATTGTCATTTTAATTAGGTTGTTTTATTTTTTCTTGAGAACCATCACTATTTATCCTCAAATGGCTTTTTTGCCTACAGAAGTATAAAATTAAAATTATGTTGTATTTTGCTTTCAATAAGTTGTAGGTTTAATTAAAAGTGTAAAAGGTGGGTAAGTGTAAAACATTTAAACTTTTTTTAAATAAAACTTCTAAAAATGTCTAAAGAACAAATGTGTCGATGTTTCACGGTAAGCAATAACATGAAAAAGTTTTCAAACTAATTGTTATTCAACAGTGATTTTTCTGAAAATTTCTTTGAAATTCACAGTATTCTTCAGTTATACCTTCTATTAGATGCTTTAAACTTAAGAGTAATTTACTTGGGAACTGTAGCCCAAATGTTACAATGTTCTTCTAGTATTCATTTTTTTAGAGGCGACAAGAACAGATTATCTGGAAGAATTGAGTAGAAGTTTTTAATGCTTACTGTGTTCAAAATGTGGTACCAGAATTTTGTTGACATCTAGCACAGTCACAGCTCTGCTTGAATTAGCGTCTGAGAGATACTGTAGAAATTCTTCTTCTGTTGGCCCGACCAAAGTGTTATATTTGTAAAGCACTGTTGGTTCGAATAATAGCTCTAAAAGTAAACTAGACGAGACGTAAAATGACCGAATTCTACCGCATTACTTCAGTAGAAAATAAGAAAGTTGTAGTTTTATTAATGGAAATACTAAGAAAGTCTTTGCCGATTTCTGACTTATTCAAAAATTACCGTGCAAAAAGATAAATTCCCTCAAAGAAGTTATTGTCGGTAGACTACCGTGAAGAAAGGTACTACAGAATTTTCGTATATCCTGATAATCCGTCAGCATCTGTGCATTACCATTTGACTGAAAATATATATTACTATTAGATTACTTTATCAGCAAAAAAAATTTCAAAACTGCTTTTTTTTCTTTTCTTTTACATGGTATTCACTCAAACGCTCTAGTATTTAACTGCGATTTTAGCGTTTGAACAGATTTTGAGTATCGCATCAGTGAAATAATTGACTGGTGTAATGCATATTTGTCAGGCTTTCAACTTTAATTCCAGATTTATATCACAAGTCTACTTAAGAGCAATTTTATTGTTTTCTTTTTGCTACACTTGTTCGTTCAGCTTCTTTTCAAATATGTCTCTTTAACATTGATTATATAAGTAATCTACAAATTTTACTGGACTGTAACAGGAAGTGTTTGCTAAGAGACTTATTGGGAAAGACCGTATATAAAGTACAATTATATATAATAACTTTTTGTAAAGTTTATAAGAGATATTGTAATGAAATGCAAAGTAAATACTTATCGTTTTTTAAGCATAATTGTGATAATAAGAATGAATTAATGGTAATAAAGCTTTGCAATGAACATACAATAGTAAGACAACTTTGTAAGAGATTTTTTGTTTTGTCGATACTCAGTCGCACAATAAATAACTTTCAGAACAACTATATAGCAAAAATTCTTCTCCAAACGAGGTATAGTCACCTATTAGATACTAACATAGTTTGTAGAGAAAAATTTTGTAAGTTATTATTTTAATAATTAGCAGAAATAGCCAACTTTTTTTGACTTTTTTTTGGTTTTTTTTCTGTTTTTTCTACTTTTTTTATTGCTTAATTCGGCGTAAACAGTAAATTGTGATCTTTAGAAGCGTTTAGAGCTGTACAAACATGAGTGATGCGTGGAAACAAAAAACAATTGCACGAGGGGAATCTGATACTTGTACGAAGAAATTTAAGAATTTGAAACTGGCGACTGCTAAAATTTACGACTTCTACAACTTGAATATTCATTTTTTTCTTTGACATTTAACGCCTTTGTAGGATGTTATTTCTATATTTTATACTGTTTTTTACAAAGCTTTTCTGTCTACTAACTATGTAACTTTTTTCCAAGATATGAACATAACGTTAAACTATGACATCATCACTTCATCTAAAATTAAAAATTTTTTTTTGGCTTGAGACTTTAAATGTTTTGCTTTTACTTAAAATTCTTCAAATTGTCGTTTTTCAAGCACATTCGGTAGCAATTAAACCAAAAAAAAAAAAATTTTTTTTAAATTTTTTATCAGAACAATTGAGAGTGGTTTTGCAATTTTTCCAATATTTAAATTTCAGAAGAAATTAATGTTTTTGTAAGGATTTTTTTTTCCTATGTGTTTGTCAAAATTTTTTTGTTTATACCAGACTGGTTTTTTTTTTTACACTTGTTAAATACGCATTTCTGTGATTTTTTGGTTAAAAACTTTTTTCTCTATAAAAGAATGTAAAATTTCAAAACATACCAAAATGTCAAATAAACAGTAGTACCATTTTCCGTTACGTTCTTCGACTACTCTAATACTTTGAAAAATGTTCGTCATATTTTCAGGAGAAATGGGGCATTTCTTTCCAACAACTTCTACAAATATTTAATCAATGTTCAAAATTTTGTTTTTGTTGGTGATTAGACATCTTCTACATTTACTCATCCTCTTTTGTAAGTTTTTATTAAAATGTCGAGAACATTACAGCTTTTTTGCTTACTGTTTACCTGAAAATTTTCAAATTTTTTGCGATTTTGCTTTGATATGGCTTACCGTTATAATAAATGGACTACAAAACAAAGTTTGCCAAAAAATTTTTCATAAAATATTTGTTGTTTCACAACGATATTCCTTCAACTATTGTTCTAAACATTACGGTGCTTTCTGTTACACTAAGCTGTTAAAAAAATAGTAAATAATGCTTGAGATTTGCGTAGAACAGTTGCAACAAACAACTGTCAAAATGTTACAGCAAAGACGAGTAAATTAAATTAAAAAAAATGCAGATCTGAAAAAATAAGTTAGCTAATGTTATTGTTAAGTTTAACAGACACAACTATAGCAAAAAAAATTAGTTGGTTATTAAAAATATCAACTCTTTATTTGAAATGCTTTTTTACTTTTAGCTGTAAATATTTTTCGTAATATTGATTTGATAAAACGGACTATCAGACTATGGTTATTATAGCAGCTAGAGATGGCCAAAAAAATAACATTTTGTTAAATATTTTAGTTGAAAGATTAAGGTAAATGCACGTCCTAAAACCAATCTGCAAGCCGGTTTTTTTACCATTTTCAAATTTCTTGACAACGAATTTTTAATATAAGCGTATGTTAAGTTTAAGACAGAAGAAACCATACCATATGCCTTCTTTTTTCGGGTGGCCTAAAAGGTATTTTTTGAGTTTACTCACAGTAGCACATTGCGTAAAGTTAAATTTTTTTTCTGATGTTAACCAGTAGCTTCGTATTGTTCAGAAGTAGAAAATATGAACAAAATTCAATGAAAATGCGCTCGAAGTTCTTAAAAAAGGTGGAAGTGCAGTCGTTGCATGATAAAGGCAGACCACACGTTACGAGTATCTCAAAAAAAAAAAAAATTCTAGAATATGAATCCTTCTCGCATCTATTTTACCTTCCACGTTTCCCCTTCAGTGAATTTTACCTCTTTAGAAGATTTTGGCTGTGAATTGCGGAAAAAAATTGCGTTATTTTGAAACATGTGAAAACCATCTCTACTAGTTTTAACCTGCCGATTCATACATTTTTAAGTCAGTGGAATGTCAAAACTGTTACCGTGCTGTCATTTATGCTAATTTCTGCGACTTTGCTATTTAATAGGTATAATTTTTCACAAGAGTAAAGCCGTGAATTGTTTGAGTAAAAAAAAGGAGACCAAAAAGGGTGATTTTTTTGGTGATAGAGAAAGTGATGAAAGGTATCTTGAAATGCATGTACTAATACTCAAAGATCAGACTAGCTAAAATAAAAAATGTTGTTTTAAATTTAGAACAAACCCTTTTATAACACGCAGGTTGCGCAGGAGGATCCTTTGCGCACATTCTCATACCTGCAGTGCCTTCTGAAAACGATGTACAATTAAAAAATATTAGTTTTTTGAACCGTATTCTCGGCTTTCATTTGGCTAGTCGTTTGTCTGACTTTTCAAATTTTTTTTCCGAGAAAAAGTTGGGAAAGAAAATTGACTAGTTGTCGTTTTTGATACCAAAATATTAGCTATGCCTAGAAGATTTTTTTACAATCAATTTTTTTGGTTCGTTTCTCAAAGTTAAAGTATTATTCTCGGTTTGAATTTGCTGAAACATTGTAGTTATTGTTAAGGTTTCCAGCCAGGAGTCGGAGAAATATAAAGTTTCTTTCTTCCTGCTAATCATACTAGCCAATTTGTAAAAAATATAAAAAGAAAATAGAAAAAATGAACCTCTTCTTAAGCATGCTGGTTCTGCACATTCGTCTGTATTAGGATTTATCCAACCACCAGATTTTTTTACTTTGACAAATTCACCAGTGCTAATCGGATATCCTTTATCCCAATTTCTATAGTAAGAGTTACTTCCGTCCAACCACCTGAAAGAATTGTCCGCCCATGGTCCATGTCTTTCGAAACCGATCCAAAATCCTTTGGTCGTATGACGAGTTAGAAACTTTTCTGTAAATTTTACGCTTTTTTTACCCTTATTTTCGACGTCAGTACAGGAACACAAGCACTGTAGGACTTTTTTTGCACAGAATATGAAATAGTCTCAGGAGCTTTTAAAAAACGTTATGAAAAGTGAGTATTAACTAAATATAAAATTTCTCTTTTATTATACCGCATATAAAATAATTGAAAAAAAAAAACGTTATAGCAAAATGGTAAAAAATAGCTTTTGCAAAATTTAGTCAACTAACTTACCGTCTCCGGTGCTTTGTAATGATGCCATCTGTGCACCATGATCTTCGCAGAAATCTGCCGCTGTA